TCGACTACACCTAACCCCCCACGACACGGCATTTATTTTTCCTCTTCTCTTCTTTTCATTTTTTTCACTTCTTTTCCTTTTTCCTTTTTCCTTTTTGCTATACCCCCACGAGATATTTTCTTCGATAGAAATTCTACGTGGAGTGGGATACTATGTCTCACGAATAGAAAATGTTGAGATGTTATATATATTTTTGTTGTTGCAATATATAAAAAGTTTATAACAATATTTATTCGGTATCATGTCCAAGATATTTTTTCATCATAAATTCGAAACTATCGTCTTGTTCTTATCAAATATATAAGGAGGAAACGTGTAGTTTGTATAGAATTATTTGATGAAACACAAGTTTCTTATAAATAAAATAATAATAATATAATGATTAGACTAAGAGAATAATTATTATCATTGAAATAATGAACGTAATTAATATAATATTGTAGAAATATTTATTCGTGCCTTTTATTATATATATATAAATTAATTAATCACGTTTGTTATTTCTTTTTATTACAACAAATATTATGTGAAAATTTGGTAGTCTGCTGTTGCATGAGATGCAACGTAAAATTACGCGAACACATTTTATTATTATTATTATTATTATTATTATTTTTTGTTTTTCAAAACTAACGCACAAAGAAATAATGCGCGAATAAATATTCGATTCTTTTATCATTTAATAATTATTATTCATTTTATACGTATATATTTTCTATGAAGAGAACGTAGAATTCACTAGAAAAAAAAAATGAAATAAGGGAAAAGGGGCAGGCAAGAAGGGCATAAATCATGCATCCCGTTAGGTCGGCGGAAGTATTCGATAAACTGATGCGCAAGTCTTACCCAATGCGTAATACTACACCGAAGCATAGTATAGAAGCTAGATAACTTATGTAATATCATAGTAATTACTCGAATACCTTCGAACAGCTAAGCATAGAACTAGCAAAGTATCTAGGGGATTAGTTCCTTTGAAGAACCTTTACTGAAAATACCCCCGTATTTCAGTTTAAGTAGTAACCGAGGAAAACGCGCTAAGCTTCTAACATAATCTCACTCGATTCATTTTACACACACACACGCATAATCTCTAGCAATTCGTGCGCGCAAACATTTTTCCAACCATAAACGTTCATATTTATCCTATGAATAAAGAAAAACGAGAAACGAAACGAAGAAATAAAAAATCAACGTGATAATTGTGCCAATGGTAGGGGTGGTATGGGGGTTACTGTTTAAAAAAACCAATCTCCTCTCCGTAATTATTTCCAAATGATTTGTTCGTGAAAAAGCAAGCAAATAATATTTGACGATCTCATTCTTGCCGATAAGAAATAACACCCTTCCCCCTCCCCCCAAGTTCGTACATGCATACATACACATAGAAAAACACGCGCACACAGACATATGTTTTCTTTTTTCCCTTTTTGATATGGGGGTATGCATTTTCTTTTTTCGTTTGTTTTTCGATATTTCTTCCTTTCTCTCTCTCTCTCTCTCTCTCTCTCTCTCTCTCTCTCTCTTCGATAAAAAATAAAAAATAGAAAAAAAGAAAAAGAAAGAAAAAAGGGAGACCAAATAAAAAGAGATCGTCGAACGATGGTAGTAGTGTAGGGTTCGTCGAGCTTTCCTGGTATATACCGATGGGTTCGGGTGGGATGAGGGGGGGAAAGAGGGAAAGAAAGGGGTGAGAGATTGGAGGAGTCGGGGAAACGGTTGGACAGAAAGGGAAGAGGAAGAGGAAGAGGAAGAAGAGGGAGGGAACTAGTGTGAGGAGGGTGAGGAGGGTGAGGAGGGGTCGGCTAGCGTTTCTCCATCGCGGCTATACTCGACGTCCGATAAAAAATGTGCAGGTTGACCAATTGCACATAACTCAAGCTGCCTTTCCAGTTTCTCACGGACATATACGAACACCATCCGATTCTAACAGATACACACAAACATACATACACAAATATACGTGCGTATAACCATCCATCCATCCGACACCCCACCCACCCAACCCTACCTGGCTTTCCCTTCCCCCAACTTCCACCCCATAATCTCTCTCTCTCTCTCTCTCTTCCTCTTTGCTTTCGCTCTTTCGTTCACACTTTTCCCTCGCTCCCCGCTCCCCGCCCCACCTCCCTCTTTCACTCTTTTCTTTTATTTTTGTTCTCTCTCTCTCCTCTTTCTCTTTCTAGCAGCAAACGAATCCTACGCTTCGAGGTCGCACGAACGTACGAACGAACGAACGAATCCCCGAGCCTCTGGCAGTGGCAACGTAGTGCGTCCTCCTCCAACACGTACGAAAGACGCAGACGCGCATTCGCGTATATTTCACTTCTTTTATTTGGGGTACCCTGCAGGGGTAGGTAGATAGGTAGGTAGGTAGGTAGGTAGGTAGGCAGGCAAGCAGCAGGTTTGCAGGCTTGCAGAGAGTCGAGTCGAGTCGAGTTGGGTGGTTAGGTAGTTGGGTGCTGGCAAAAGGGGGTGGCTGCTGGGGTGGTGTGTATGCGCTTGGGCTAGGGGCGATGACATCGATTTTTTACCCGTTGCTAATCTCAATGTTACCTGCAACCTCCTCCTATATTCCTCCTCCTCCGCCGCCGCCTGCAGTTCGGTCATCTCTTCCCCCCTATAGGCTGGGGGAGGGTTTAAAAGGGGAACAGGAGGGTGCAGGCCCAGTCCACCTCGTTTCACCTCTCTCTCTTTCTCTCTCTCTCTCTCTCTCTCTTTACTCTTCCAACTCGTCGGCCGGTGATGGTGGTGATGGTGATGGTGATGGTGGACCATCCGTTCTGCGGGAAAACGTGCATGTGCATCGGGCACCATTCGGAGAAGGAATAACCATTTTTTTTAACCCCTTCTCCTCCTCCTCCCCTGTACTTTTCTGGGACAACACTTGTGCCGTCGGGCTTGTCGCATGAATTTCCTCTTCATCCCTCTTCCCTTCCCCGACCAACCAATTCCCATCCTCTCTACTCTTCCCTGTACAGCACCCCTTACTACGCACGTACACGCACACGCGTATTTTCTTCCTCCCTTCTTTCTCTTTCTATATTTATTTTCTTTATTTCTTTCTTACTTTTTGTCCTTTCTGTCCTTCTCCATTCTCTCTCTCTCTCTCTCTCTCTCTCTCTCTCTTTCTCTCTCTCTCTCTTTTTCCTGCCAGCCGATTTTATTCGTCCAACTTTTTCGTCGTTGTTTTCTACCTCCCTGCAACCCCCACCACCACCACCATCACCACCACTGTCCCCCCTTCCTATCCGAAACTCATCCTTTTCTTTTTTTCATTCAACCCCTTTTTTTGGTGCCACGCGACGCGACGCCGAATCGAACTAACATGGACGCGACAGTTTCCCATTTTTCTCTTTCTCTCAATCCTTCATATTTCTAGTCTTCCCTTTTACTATTTCTATCCTCCTATCCTTCCATTCGTCGTCTTCCTTCACCAACCCTTCCCCTTCCCGCTCGCCAGCGAGTATGCCTGCGAATTATTTTCTTTTTTTTTTTCCTTTCTTTCGTCGCGTTTTAAATTTACGCATTTCTTCTTCTTCTTCCCCCCCCCCTCATTTCACCCTCAATCTCACCCTAATCCTCCTTCACCCTATTGGTCTATTAAATTTTTCTCTTTCTCGATCTTGTCCTCGAACATTTAAAAGATATTTTGCCCTTTTTCCCTTTTACCACCACTCTCATCAACAATCAAACCACCCAGCCACACCCCATTCTACCTCACACACTCACTCACCCCCTCTCCAATTCAAACGAAAAGCAAGAAAAAATGCAAAACTAGGGAAGAAAGTTCGAGTTTTAATTTTCCACAGGTCCTCGATAATGTTCGTAATTACGTTATAATCAGGGCTAAAGGATGCTAGAGTTAGAATGAGGAAAAGGGTGGAGACAGGGAAGAAGCTTTCAATAACGTACTTTGGATAACTTACAAAAAGGGGGAGATCGCGATATGTGATTCTGGGATTCCAGTAGTGTTGATGGTTTATGCTCCGATAAGGGTAGCTAAATTAATAAATAAATGAACTATTTTTTAAGATTTTTCGGTTCCTTCTGTTAATTTATTATAAATAAATCATATTCAGACGGATCATTTAAAAATAATTTTCATTTATTCAAATGATTGTTCTGAATAATCTCATTCAACATTATTTTATATATATACATAGAGTTCTCACAAACACCGATTGTATCCTATAGAAATAAAAATAATATCATAATAATAATAATAATAATGACAAGAAAATAGAATTAAATAAAATAAAAAATAGAATAGAATAGAAATAAAGAAATAAAGAAATAATGAAAAGACAGGATACTCAGTGAGGCATTACACGTTCTTGAATTTTGTTAGCACCGAGATGACTATGACGACTATGACGACGACGAAGACGACGACGGTCTCTTAACGAGGCCACTTTTAGATGACCCAGAAACTTTAAGAGCCGTGGGAAATGTATAAAAGGAAGGGAAAAAAAAAATCGATAAGCACTTGCCCGGGAGAATTTGTTGTTTCCGTCTGATAGGGGGTGGGCGGGCGATTGGGGGAGGGTTTAGGAAGAGAAGGAAGTGAGAAGGGGAAGCTTTCGAGACGTTACTTTTCTTTGTTTTTCTTTTTCTTATATTATTTTTTTCCTTTTTTACGGATAAATAAAAGGAAAAGACAATGGCGAATAAAAAGAGATGGTTTAAACCTATAAAACCTTCGAGACAACAAAAAAAGTATATATACTTGTCGCTAATTATATGGTGTTTTATTTTTAACAAATTAATGAAACAACAAAGAGAATGATGACGATTAGAACGAGTTTCTATTTCTTTTATTCGAAATCATTTGGAAAAATAAATGTGTGAGTGGTTCGTTTGACTTTTGATTTGATTTGATTTAATTGGGGGTAAATAATGCAATAGGTTTTCTTACGCGAACGATATGTATTTTTAAATTTAAAAAAATATAAGCAAAAAAGAACAAAACAAAACAACAAAAAGAAAATAAATTTCAGACGGAGATAGCGAAGAGATTGAACGCGATAATCGTCCAATTATTGCCGTTCCTGGCTCAAGAGGTGAGTCTTTGACTTTCTGTTTAACATTAATTTTTATAAACGGTACGATCGAGTGCGACCACGACGCGATAATGATAGCATGGCTTACAGCATCAGCAGCAGGTGGCCAACGCTGTAGAAAGGGCGAAACAAGTTACCATGTCCGAGCTGAACGCTATCATCGGGGTAAGTTTCACATTAAATTTCATAACGTTTCTTTTTTTTTTTTTTTTTTTTTTTTTCAATTTTTAATTTTTTTTTCCCCCCCCCTTTTTTTTTTTTTTTTTTTTTTTTTTTTTTTTTTTTTTTTTTTTTTTTTTTTTCTTTTTTTTTTCTTTTAACGATGACAGATTAACAACCTAATGTATCTTATGTCACAGCAACAACAACAACAAGGACTGCAACAATTGTTGGTAAGTTTACTAATTAAAATTACGATTGATTAATGGAAGAATCGTTATTATATCATTTCTAATAAAATTCTTTTTGTTTAATATTAACAATTAGATTATTGAAAATGTTTCAATTAATATAAAATTGAGACAGGAATCTAAATACAAATTTAATACTGCGAGGATTATATACCATGTGTATAATATTAATTAATATATATATATATATATATATATATAGATTTTCAAATTAGATACTAGGGTAAAGATTTATAAAGATCGATAAATAAAAATTGATTTGATTTTAGCAACAAATACACGCGCAACAATTGCCACACGGTGCGGTGGTTGGTGGATTACCACCGGGAGGTTTGTTGGGTTTTGCCGGTGCAGCAGCAGCAGCAGCAGCAGCAGGAGTCCCACCTCATCTGGCCCCACCGGCCCATCCGGCGGCCGCAGCGGCAGCGGCTCAGGCCCAAGCCCAGGCCCTTCTCAAACCTGCCGATTTGCAACAGCATAGGGCAGCAGCAGAAACGCCCGAGGATCGGAAACCAATTGCACTCACCGATGAGAGACTACGACAATCGGTTTCCCCACCTGAAAAGTTTCGAGCTCGTACGCCTGACCTTGAAAGCGATCCCAAAAGGCGGAAGGAAGAAAAACTCGGTCACGTGAGTTTTACACGTTTACTATAATCACTTTTCTTTTTAATCGTTTATTCCTTTTAACCCTTTCAATGATGTATAATACCTTTTACCGAAATCTTTTCTATAGGAATAGAAATAATATATTATTAATATGAGATATATATTATTAATCTCAGATCTAATTATTAATTATATTTAATGATTATGAAGTTTTTTATTTCTTATATATATATATATATATAATTTTCATGTGAGACAAAACTCAAAACAATAAATCAAAATTTGTATATTTTAATTACATATGCATGCATGCTCCGTACGTATGCAACACACGTTGAATGATATATATTTGTTATTTCATTTTTATGATTAAATAAGAAAAATATTTTAAACGTTTATAGAGCGATACAAAAAATAATCGTCTTTAAATTCTGACACATTAATATGAGTACACACACACATACACATACATTCGTTTAATCGAATCATTCGCATAAATAATTTCAAGATTCAAAAGAGAAAGAAGGTATACACGCAACACAGGTGCCGTTATTACAATACGATTTTTATATATCCAAATATTTTTCCCTACAAAAAAAATATAACTTCCCGTTATATTTTGTTGTTGTTGTTGTTGTTGTCTAAACGTAAATTATAAATTCCGATCGATTTATTATATACGTTTTATACAAAGCGAATATTTTTCCTACCTGATTTGTATTTTTATTTTTCTTCGACAACACGTTGTAACAACCATCTCCCACTCTTTCTTTCTCATACTCCCGCCTATGGTTTTTCCTTTCTCTCTTTATTTATTTCTTTCGAAGCAAAGGGATACGTCAACGTTGAATCCATTTGACTCCGCAGTCAAAGCGATGTAAATCAACGCCCTTTACGATCGTACTACCAGTTTAACATCGTCAAAGTAGAATAGACTTAAAAAATGTCGCTGTTTTGTTCCGTCAAAGCAAACTCTCTCTCTCTCTCTCTCTCTCTCTCTCTCTCTCTCTCTCTCTCTTTCTTTCTTTTTTTTTTTTTTCTTTTTTCACGTAGAACTCGTTTCTACGTTTCTCGTAAATCATAATTCAAAGACAACGCAAAACGTTGCACCGAGAGAAACGGTTCAAAGGGCTCGCTTTAAGTGGAAAGTACGTAATCGAACGACGCGTGAAGAAAGTTTTAAATAAAGGTAAAACGGAGGAAAAGTGTATATAAGGAAGAAGAAAAGAAAATACAAAAGAAACGAAGGAGTAAGGGAGGAGGAGGTAGGGTAGGGGAGGGGGTGTCGGTAAAATAAAAATGATAAGAATTCTTACGAAAATAAAAATCATTCCCTGTTAAACGAAAAATACGATCGGTATAATTGTATAATTGGTTTTAAATTGTATCATAAAAATTATGACTTAAGAAAAAGAAACTACTAACAATAAGAATACATTTTGTCGATGTAATAATATATAAACAAGAAAATATTTCATCAATTTTGATAATACGAATGTGATGAATAGGAATAAAAGGAATGCTACGTGAAAGTTTGACATGAAAAAGTTTTATAAAAAGATAAATATCTGAACAAATGTTTGTGTGTGCGGAATATACATTTCGAAATAAGAAAGTTTGCACACATCGCAACCTGAAAAAAGGAATGCAATACAAATGATATGGAAATTGTATGAAGTATATATTCTTCTATACGTTTATCTATGTATATATGTATATGTATATACGTATATGGTATGTGTTGTGTGACGTATAATATAAATTTATATAACAGTAGGAACGATATTTCCTGTGCAATACTTCCTACGTATGGTAATCTTTTACTATATACACACACACACACACATAACACACGTATATATATATAAAGAAATTATTAAAATAAATTTAATATATATTATAATATATTGGGGGTTGGCTACTAAGTAATCTCCTCCTTCTTCTTTAAAAGAAGGAATAAAAGTGGGGAAGTTTCAGGAGGGCATGTTTCTAACTAAAACAAATCAAATAAATATTGTTCTTTAAATTTCGTCACATCGAAAAATTGGCACATTGTATAAATTTATTTTAATAATATTTCTCTTCTTCTTCTTTATATAATTTTTAAAAATTATATAAATTTTCAATTTATTTTTTAATAATTTCTTTGTATATATATTTATGTAAGTACTTATTTATACAAAGAGATAGATAGATACATAGATAAATAGATAAAATGAAAAATAGGTCCCCCAGGAGGGTATATATATATATATATATTGTGTACACATACGAATAAAATAATAATAATAAAACAAAAAGAAGGGGGTGGAGAAGGGCTATACGAAATTTCTTTAGTAAAATTGGGTTAACCAGACGAAAAGACGCCTCAACGAAAGAGAGAAAGAGAGAGAGAGAGAGGAACACGTCCTTGTGCGTCATAGCTGGAGGCATGTTTCTTCTTGCCATGTTGCTGTGAAATATCCATGAAAACGTTCTCCTTTGTCAGGATCATGAGGACAAAGTATACGCCAGCTACGGTTCTAAGAGAAAGAACGAGAAAAAGGAAAAAGAAAGAAATATGAAAGAAAGAAGGAAAGAAAGAAAGAAAGAAAGAAAAAAAGAAAAAAAACAACGGTGATACCAGGGTGGTTCACAGTAGTAGTAGTAATAGTAATAGTAGTAGTAATGGTGGTGGTGGTGCTTCTGTTGCTGGCGGGGGTCGCTTATAATTAAAAACCGTGAAAACAGGCGAGCCACGAGGCACTCGCTATATTTATATTGGATTATTTATCTCAGCTGCTCGTTTCCCTCTTTTGCGGGGCCCTTTTCTCCTCCCTTTTTTCCCCTCTTTTCTTCTTTTTTTTCTTTCTTTTTCTTTTTATTTTTTTCTTTATTTTCTTTTCCCCCTTGTTTTCCTTTTCTCTTCTTCTTCTTCTCTTTCTAGTTCTCTAGTTCCTCTAGTTTCCATTTCTTTTCTATTTCTACTTTCTTTCTTTCATTTTACTTACGTTTTTTTTTTTTCAAACTTTCTTTTCTCTTTCTCCCCATACTCTTCTCTACCTTTTTACCGAGAAACTAAGGAAGGGGGTAGTTTTTTTTTCTTTTTATTTTGTATTCTTCCTTCCTCGTTTGTTTGTCCCTTCATATTTTCGGTTTTCTTTTTATTTGTCGCGTTACGCACCCTTTTTTTCTTTCATATACGTCACTACGAAAATTGTCTTTCCTTCTTCTTTTTATTATTTTTCTTTTTCTCTTTCTTCTTATATTTTCTGTTTCTGCTAAACTCACGTTTATCATATCTAACGTATGATACATTCGAAAGGAAGGAACAAAGTAATAAGAAAAATTCTTTCATGAATATTTAACGCATAGATATTTTTGTACAAGTTTTAAGAAAAGTATAAAGAAAAATAATAATAAAAGGAAAATAAAAATCACTCACGTTATTGCGAGAATGGTTTTATACATATCGAATATTCTTAAACGAAAATTGGAAACGAGTATTTTATTAAAAATAAGAAACCAAATAAATAATCATCTAACCACGTAACAAGTTACTTCCTATATACCCTATTAACAAAACCTTATTCGAGTTAAGAAGGGGTAATATTTAGGATAGTTAGAAGAGGTATAATGTAATATAACAGAATAAAAGGGTCAGAAAGAGGGTGTGTGGGGTGCTGTTGCTGGTGGTGGTGGTGGTGGTGGTGGTGTTAAGAAGAAAAGAAGAAAACGGATATAATCGGAAATGAGTTCTCGCGTGTCCATGGACAACTCGTGGATAATGGTTATTCACCCTAACAACAACCTAGCGTTTTGTTGCACAGTCTCCTCCAATCTTTTCCATGAAACACCCCACCCAAGGTAAATCCCAACCCCTGCCTCACCCCTTTATGAAGCATTTGACTAACCCTTCTCCTCCTACAACTACTACTACTACTACTATTACACCGACACACGAACAATACCCATCGACGAGGATCACATCACCGCGTTCACTTCCACCTTCTTCATCGTCTGTTCAGTTCTCAGCTGAGAATCCAAACAGGACGATCCCGAGAAGGGATTAGTCGTAGTTCCAGGACGTCAGCGTTCCTCCTGCTGCTCCTCCCTTCTTCCTTCTCCCACAGGAAGGCATTAATCAAAGGAATAGTAATAGTAGTAGTAGGGTAGTATAGTAGTAGTAGTGGTGGTGCACCCTGTTACAGCCACGACGAAAGATGGAAATGCTAGGACGCACACAGTTCAACTATCACGGGGGTGGAAGAACCTCAGACGAACTTACAGAATGCTGTTCTCTTCTTCTTATTCTTTTTTGCGAAACCAAGAAAGAAACAGAGAGAGAGAGAGAGAGAGAGAAGCTGTGAGTTTATCCAAGACACTGAGTCTTTCTCTCTCTCTCTCTCTCTTTCTTTCTTTCTCTTTCTTTTTCTTTTTCTTTATCTCTGTATCTCTCTTTCACCCTAACTTTTCTTTTCTTACTGGTTTTCTTACTGGTTTTCTTCAACACTGCTATCGTGATCGATTTAAGTAGCGTGGCGTCTCATTTATCCGACATCTTTCATCATGCCCGATCGATTTTTCTTTTCTTTTCCTTTTCCTTTTTCTCTATTCTATTCTTCTTTGTTTTATTTCCCATCATAAATAAATGAATTTCAAAGTATTAAAAAAAGGAAAAATAAAAAGAAATACATTACGACTTAAAGCAAACAAACAAACACTCACTTCGAACGCATATATATATATATTACTTACGTGCGATGATAACGCACCCTAAATTAATTCCACGTATTATGTCTATTTAAATCGTTTATATATATATATATATATCAATTAACAATTATTTTTTCATCCTAACTATGTATATATATATATAACATAATACCATTCTTTCATTCTATAGAAAACGCTTTTATTCCGCACTATATTCTCGTTTGATACATTAAACGTCGGAACACAATGGACACAGCATTGCCGATGTTCCTTCGTCCACTCTACGAACCCCTTGCAAACCTTCCCTTCCCATCCCCCTTGCCCCATCC